TCAGGAAAGGGGTTACTTGAGAAGACAGCCAGATGCTCCACAGCAGGTTACTCTCGGATTAGAAGCTTGTCGAGACCTCAGCAAATGCTGTGCAGGTATAGTCGTTAAGAGCAGCAACATTTGGCCACAAATGTTCTTCAAAAAATCATGTTGTTTGCATAGAATATGGCTGGAAAGGCGGATAGAAATATGGAGAACCAGTGTTACCATGGCCATCCCGGCCTTCAGATGGACATTGAACCATGCTCTCAGGAACATGTCCCATATTTAAGCGGTATATTGCACATTCGCAGGGCATTTCATGTACAAAATCTAACTTAGTTCAAGAGATACGACGAGATGATGAGGATGATGATGATGATGATCATGATGATGATCATTATGATGATCATGATGATGATCATGATGATGATCATGATGATCATGATGATGATCATGATGATGATCATGATGATGATCATGATGATGATCATAATGATAATGATGATGATGATGATTATGATGATGATGATGATGATGATCATGATGATGATCATGATGATCATGATGATGATCATGATGATGATCATGATGATGATCATAATGATAATGATGATGATGATCATGATGATTATCATGATGATTATCATGATGATGATGATGATGATCATGATGATGATGATGATCATGATGATGATGATCATGATGATGATCATGATGATCATACCGATGATGATCATGATGATCATGATGATCATGATGATGATGATCATGATGATGATCATGATGATGAGCATGATGATGTTCATGATGATGATCATGATGATGATCATGATCATGATGATGATGATCATCATGATGATGATGAATATGATGATGATGATGATCATCATTAATGATGATCATGATGATTATCATCATTAATGATCATTCTGATCATGATGATGATCACCATTAATGATCATTATGATCATGATGATGATGATCATGATGATGATGATGATTATGAGGATGATGATTATGATTATGATGATGATGATGATGATGATGATGAATATGATTATGATGATGATGATTATGATTTTGATGATGATCATCATGATGATGATGATGATCATCATTATGATGATGAATATGATGATGATGATGATCATTATGATGATCATTGTGATCATGATGATCATTATGATGATGATGATGATCATCATCATTATGATGATGGTGATGATGATGATGATGATTTTGATGATCATAACAATGATGATCATGATGATGATCATTATGATGATCATTATGATCATGATGATGATGGTGATCATTATGATGATGATCATTATGATGATCATTATGATCATGATGATGATGATGATCATTATGATGATCATTATGATCATGATGATGATGATTATGATGATGATGATCATTATGATGATCATTATGATCAATGGTTAAGAGATTGCCCTCCAATCTTCTGAGACTCACAGTTGACCAGTCTGATCTCCAGCTCCCATTAGGCTCCGAGCTGGTTCCAAGATGTCAGACCTTGGCCGAGAAACACAAGAAGGCTCTTGGGTCTGGTCGGAACATTAGCAGATTGGTAGATAAACTATGAACAACGTATGATCAACATATGATCAACGTATGATCAACATATGATCAACGTATGATCAACATATGATCAACGTATGATCAACATATGATCAACATATGATCAACGATGCATCCAAGTATTCTGAAGTCAAACAAGACCTGAATTTGGTGTGAGATTGGGTGAATGGAACCCCCTACATAGTTGATGTATAGAATGGTGGCACATCGTGGTTGTGTTTTCAGTGTGACATAAAACCAACCAAATAATTTCTCCACGTTTTATGAGTTTTTTGCAGCTCATCCCAGGGCCCCCTTGGGGCTGGTGAATTGGTCTTCAGCCTTCAATGGATATTCGATTCATATTGTTCATACTCAATATGTATATATGATTGCATAATTTATTATCATATGATGTATGTATTTTATTGTATTATGTGATTTGTGTACAACAGGTCCGCATGGCCTGTTTAACTCGCAGATCCTGTTGTGAACCAAATTATGCCTGGAACTATTTATATCTGTTTTATAAAATAGTTGGATATGCTGCACACATCTAGTTGCAGTCATATTTATAGATAGTTCCGAGGCGCATTCAAAGCCATACAGACACAGAGACCCTGCGGACCAGTTATACATATATATATACACATACATATATACATATATATAGATAATTATATATCATGATATATATCATACATATATATATATATATATATATACTATATCTTTTTTGTGTGTGTTCAGCCAGTGGATTCCTGGCGAGGTCCATTTTCCTGGAGCGTGTTCTTTCGGGAGATGGTGAAGTCCCCCCAGTTCGACCTCACCTTCGCGGGGGGATCCCAGAGAATTCCGGGGATTTTCGTAGATCATGTACTGTGTATTAAATAAATAATATAATAGATGGATATATATATATATACTATATATAGATGTACTATATATATATATAGATATCGATGAGATGTACTATATATATAGATATAGATGAGATGTACTATATATATATAGATATAGATGAGATGTACTAGCTGAAAATCAGCAGGAATATTGACCTTAAATGATAATGTTAAGTGGAGATTACTAAAGTATACTAAAGTGTTGTGGAAACGATGAACACAATGACGTGAAATGGGTACAACATGGGAAACGACTGATGATTGTTTCATATGTGGAAGCCTGTACTGGCCACAACATTGGGTACTGCAGGAGTGAGGGTTTACAAACAAGAGCTTTGAAGCACCAAAAAGCCCACAAATTCACGCAATTAGAGCCAACTTGAACGAAGTTTCCAGTCTTCAGGAGGCGGTTACTACCTGCGTGACTTTGACTTTGATTCTTTCATTGACTGTATGAATGCAAGTACATGTACATATACATATATATATACATATATCATCCAGGTCGCACCAGATTCAAACACATGGTATCGGTCCGTAGAAAATTCCTCACCACTGCGCCAAGGCCGTTTTAATTTTTCTGAGCAGTCTGGCCGTGACCTCAAACTGGACACAGCTGGCAGAGCTATGAGTAGCGACTGTCCCAGCTTTAAAATGTTGAAAAACAGTAACACTGAAACAGTAAAAACATGAAGCTATGAGTAGCTATTGAAAATCAGTAACAGGTTTGAAACTGAAACAGTCCCAAGAATTTTCAGGTCATGGCCTTGCAAGTGCAGTACCGTGGCTTTGATGTAGGCCTGGCAAATGGAACTTGGGTAGGACGAATCAGACGACTGGGCGACTGACAGATTCATCTATATATGTCAGACCAAAAAAAACCTTAAACAGTCTGATTTCATTGGTTTGATTGGTATATCCTGGTTTATGTATATATATATACATATATATATACTTATATATATAATATATACATATACCGTTGGTCGCATTGCTATCCCTGATTTCCCATGTCCCATGTTTTCTTTTTAAGCCTGGAAGGCTTTGACCTGGGATATTTCGGGGTGTTTCAACCTGCAAATCAGCACCTTGGAATATCGGATGACCGAGGCCCGTTGTGCCAATGGGATACCAATGGGCCAGGGGCCGCCACCGGGGGTGGGGCCACCAGAAAATGGCAGTGAAATCAAGCTGACTAGTTGACTAGTAATGATTACTTGGATCTAAGGTAGCTTTATCACAGTTCTCTTGGGGGAATAGAATTATCCTAAAAGTCCTAAAATCTATAGTTGTTTTAAAACTTCATATGGATACAGTATGAGGTCGTTGCTAAACCGCCATTCTTTTGGCGCGCTAGAGCCGAGACCAAGGGTGTGGCCTGGTGCTGAGCCCATTTTCAATGGTCTTGAGATGACTTTGGGCGTCTCTTGGAGGAAAGCGGTTCGGGATGGGTACGAAGATGCAGGCGATGTCATGGCCAGTCTTGGCGATTCATTAGATTGCCTCAATGGCAGAGGTCTTTTAAAAGATGATATCCATGAGCCAGTGAGACAATGTGAGACATGTGGCTAGTGAAAGACTGGGTCAACACAAGAACCTCGCAACATCGAATCTGGCACTTTGTTGGAGTATTCTTTTGGTAGGTGAAGGACAACTTTGGATCGTGTTTGCTTTTGCTGGATATTCTAAGCTCAATGAACCACGCCATAACCCTGTTGTGTAAACTCTTTGAATCCCAATCTTCGCTCTGACTGTTCACAGTGCAGTTATGTTCAACAATGTGTCCTCTAGCTTGCATACATTGATCATTGTTTGCACGCAAACTTTCTTATCCCCGCAGTGTGTGGTGCTCTATTTTAGCTGACCTGTTGATAGCTCCTGGGTTCGATGGTGAAAAGGTCCCGTTGGTTGGGAATCGTGCCCTGTTCATTGTGGGACAGGAACTGGTCATTTTCTGAAAACTCAGGTCACCTTTCTCTTTGCAACTTGTCTGAATGTTGAGGAATGAGTTGAGTACAGAAACTTCTTCGGAAAGTACAAACCAAGTGTCATTGGATACTTTTTGGTTCGCGTGATGCGGGCTGTGGTGTTTTGTTGCAGTGCGAAACTTGGGGCACCGCATTTAATGATTTTAATGTGTATTTGAGTTTCAAACTCGCCCCATGTCCTCACGTCAATAGTTGTGGAAACATCAGGAGCATTTTCTGAGCAAAAACGGGACACAAAAAAAAACGGTCCCAAAAATCAGCACGACTCACCTTTTGTTGTGGCTATTGATGCTGTCCTTGAGGCGTTCCAACTGAGGAAAACAGCCTGGTATATTTGTCAGACACACTATGATCATATGATATGATAGGAAAGACATGGAAAGACTAAATGACTCAAAGATGGGGATTTTTGGATATTTTTGGGTCATGTGAAACAGTCCATCTTGATGTATTTCAGCTGGGAGGCAGCCTGATTCTGTGAAGTTCATAGGTCTTCCAGGTTGGGATCACCAGTGGTCCCCCTTCACAGGAAATTTTGGTGCGCATGCTGGCCGCACGCTGTCATTTCTGGTGCGATCCCTGGAACATCATGGACTTGTGCCTGGGATCTGCAGTTTGGTACACCTGTAGTGACGACTTTGTGGCCACTGACATAGACCAACGTTTGAAGGACGTTGGCTATCCTTTAAGGTACGGAAAAAGGGCATACTGCAGTAACTGCAGTACATGGATTGCTGACTTTGCGTAGTCCCCTATGATATGTACATTACATTTACAGTGTATATATATATAATATACAGTAATATACAGTATATTAATTATATATTCAATGTCATAATATATATACGTATATATATATATATTGTGATATGATATAGCTTAGCTATATCTAAATGTTGTAGTTTTTCACCGGTGAGCATTTTCACCAGCACATCCAAGGTTTGTGGTTGTTGCCTGGGCAGTTGACACGGCCTTTGGGCGGCAGAAGATCTCAGGAAGTGTCCCAAACCAAGAGGTTTTGCGTCTCATGAAAGTTGAGATCTAATGGGTTACTAACTGAGAAAAGGGTTACAGTAGGTTACTTAAGTTCCAAACAATTACTGAAAGATTACTAACCTTTTAATGGCTAGTAATCTACTGTCAGTTACGTGATGGCTTGCCGTGCATCTTCGTTTCAAAGTGATGAAGTAATGTAGTGACTGGATACAATATGAGACTGTTTGGTGGTTTGGAACATTTTTTTTTCTTCCATATATTGGGAATGTCATCATCCCAACTGACGAAGTCCATCATTTTTCAGAGGGGTGGCTCAAAACCACCAACCAGGAGATAATCCTGGCGGTAGTTTCGGAGCCATGATACTATGGTTTATCAGCCCATTGATCAAAGACTTACATGGTGACCATCTTTGAAGCAACCCTGATGAAGTCATCCTCAATTTAGTATGGATAACTGGAGGATTTGCCCCTGATAACTCTCCGGGGGAGCAGATTGATCTCAGGCGACCTCAGCGTCGCTGCCGGTGGACCCCATGTTGCTGCGCTTGTTGCGATTGATAAAGCTCTTCCGTTTACTGCGACTCATAAGGCCACGGCGGCCACGGCGGCCACGTGTTGGATGATATGCCCGCAAAGATAGGTCGATGGTTTTTTGCGGCTGCCATGAATACTTGAGGAAGTCATGAATGATTTGAGTGTGTTTTCTACGTGTTTCAAATTAGAATTCTGAGCATGCCTCCTCACAGACGGTTGCAGGAAAGTCAAAGGCTTTGATTCGTTGTACATTATGGCAACCTGGCAGCATGGATCTGGAGGGGTTCATGTCTCAAGAGTCAAGAGTCACAATGGTTTCGCTGCAAGTTCTTTGTTTCGAAAGATGAACATGAATAATTATGAAGATATTGCAGTATTGTATTCAATAGTGACACTAGTGTTTGGGTTCCAAACATTCAAATGTTCAATGGACAGAGGGTAATGTTTATCTCTATTGTTGACTGAATTTGACTGAACTTAGGATGCCCAGCCATCAGCCATGCCGGCCTCGCTTCCAACCAGTGAATTTTCAAGTTAGCAACACACTGGTTGAACATGGTTGAAGCATGGTTGAAGCATGGTTTTTCACGGGTCGTGCTGGGCAACTCAAGGTGACCTCCATCAAAGCGAGTTTCTCTGCTCTGTTGTGGTCAACGGTGTTGCTCTTTGCAGTTCTAGCGTGCCTTGGTAACCAACAACTAGCGGAGGTCTCCGCTGCTCTCCGCTAGGGTGAAATCAAAGCTCTGAAAACCCCTTATGGAACTGCAAAAGTCAGGCCGTGCCTTTCAGGATCTTCCCAACGGAACACTAAAGGCAAATACAAATATATATATATATATACATATTATATTATATTATATTATATTATATTATATATATATATTATAATATATATATATATATATACATGGAGTACTTATGAATACTTCATCTGCATTTTGGTAAGAGACTGCACACATTGGCGCCCAATCTCGTTTTTCGGTGTGCGTTTTCCGTGTGTGCTACCACAAGGACCATCGCATTGGTGTTAACCACTTTGGTGGATGTTTATTTGAACAACGACAGCAATCCTTTGGAGGGACGCAGCTCGGCATGGTGATTGGCGCTTGGCTGGAGTTGGTGGATTGGCGCCATGATGCGCCATGCCATCGGGCACAACCGTCCTGAGGATTGCGTGTCTTCGAATACTACGGAACCTTTACACGTTGCTCATTGTTTCTTGGCCAAGCCCTCTTCCCTCAGATGTTTGTTGATATACTATATAGAGGAGTGAGTAAGATGGCCCCTGGCACCCCCAATTAGTGCGCACCCCCCACCCCACTCGTAATTTTCAACAAAAACAAAAAACCTCTTCTATGAAGATAATTTCATCAAAATGGACCCCTTATGAATCCAATTTCATCAAAATGAACTCCTTATGAATGCCACAATGCAATTCTTGAATTCTGCCCAATGCAGCTAAAAATGAACCCCTCATTAATGCTGTCTAGTTTATTGACAAGTTGGGGTTGGGGGGCAACCACTTCCAAAGTCCTTTTTGACCCTGTTGACCTATAAGGGGGTAGTCGGGTAGTCATTAGCCTAAGTGGTGTGTGTTGAAGTGAAGATGTAAATATTTCAGGACCCTTAGTGACCTGACCTTGTGAGAAAAGAATTAGACCATCTCAACAGGTGAGAGAAGAAAGGGGCCGAATTCTGCTTGGGGTTTGCTTATTGGCAGAAACAGCTGGGGATGTTCCATTCATAGGCTGCTTGTCCGTGTCACAATCCCTGTCCATTCCTCCTAGACATGTCACCCCAGCTGATTTCTTTGGCATGGAGGATAAGAGCGGACAAGATATATCAAGATATACCATCTGGTTATTATCTCCTGCCATGACTCGCCCTGTTAGACAACCAGGACGTTGCTGGAACTGACTCTAGCCAATTGGGTTCCAGCCTCACGGGTGCTGACAGAGTCTGGGATGCACCGATGTCAGAGAGATTAGCCTCTGGTTATGACGAACGCTTTGCGAACTTGAACATGGCCCATAGGAAATAGATGGAAATAGTGGATTTCCCATGAAAAATGGTGATTTTCCATGATTTTCCATAGTTTGTTGTAGGTTTACCAGAGGGTAAGTCAAAGATTACAGGGAAAGATCACAGCAAGGCAACTCATTCAATGACAATTGTAGTGAAGCCTTGAGCTCTGTAGAACAGTGGCTGCATCCTACTAAGCGCCTTGATGATTGAAAAAGGAAGACTTCAGCCACTGGTTTGTCAGCATTGCATAGTGCTATTTTTTCCAGAGAAGAAAAGGGTGATTATTCCGCATCCTTCAACTTACTCCTGGAAACTGAAATCTCGGTATTTCCGAGCTTTGTCAGACACCCCAATCGTGCCTGTACCAGAGAGCGAGAGCTGTTTCAACAAGGTCTTACTTTTTTCTCAGCAACATATTAAAAGAAATTAACAGATACTATATAATATCTACTTATTGGGTAGCCAAATAACCAAACCTGGGCACAAAAAGTTTCTATGTACCTAATACATGAATTGAAAAGTATATTCGTGTGTGCGTGTGCGTGACAATCAGCTCGAAACAACTGCAACCAGGAAGATGTCAGTGAGTTCTACACCATCTTCGTCCTCACCTTTCAAGCGTCCATGGGATTTTCGGTGGTCAAAGTCATCATGGGAGTGTTTCTTCAGAACACCTTCTCCGTTGCCGCCAACGATGATGTGAAGCTTGGTAGAAACAGCTTACGGATGCGGCATCCCCTGGCCCTGTCCATCTGATGAACTGATACTGTTGTTTCATGTTGTTTCATGTCGTTTCATGTTGTTTCCTCAAGATTTTTCTACTTAACATGTGGCAACTATTTGAAGCCAGGGATCTTTATCCTTTACTGTACTCGCTTGTTGAATACTGATTGACAAGCTTCACTTATGACACAGTCGGGAGGCCTCCCAGCTGAGGATTATGATGAACTCCAAAGATCGAGCGCTTCAAACGCACAAGTTGAAGATGCCACTGGTCCTTCGTTTTCTCCTAGGATTTTACAACAGTGCCATGGATATCGTGGCTAAGATTTGAGCAAAAGATAAAGCAACACGAATGTAGTTGGTCTGGATGATTTGTTTGACCACATGTGGCCTGCATCCAAGTCCAAGCTTCTTAATGCCCAGATGTTTGCATACATTTTGCCACTTGTTCCAAACACTAGCCCTGCAAACCATGCTAGCAGCCGTTGCGTATGGCATCATGTGTCTACAACCCTTCATTTTGAGATAATTTTGAGGTGTGTTTTCAAAACATGTTATATAGCTTTTCAGCCAACAAGACAAGACAGTCCTGGAATTCATGAGTTGGCAACTTATTTTATACCCCATGGCTGAATCCAGAAATCCATGACTGGGCTCATGACTGGCTGCGCATCTTTCTCTAGCCAGTTCTCGAGGTCCATCCTTTTCAGCGCAGCTGACATCAATGGCGATGGACGACTAGACTCGGAGGAGTTTGCAGATATCCTGGCGGACCCTATGGACACTGGGTTGAAGCTTTGCACCGCTGCGATATGCTGCGATGCACTGATGACATAGCTGGCAGTGATGACATAGCTGACATAGCTCACATAGCTGTGCGGAGACGACTGGGGAGTACATGGGATCACTACACCCTTGAAATCCATTGAATCTTGAAAGGATCCATAGGATCCATAGCAATTCATGTCGCCCATCATCCATGTCACCCGTATGTCACGTCTAAGGTGTCGCGCTGGCTCAGCGCTATGGGTTTTGACACATCCATCATGGGATCGGAGGACACTTGGTGGTCGGACCACCGCGGTGCATTGGGGGTACCTTTTTGTGATGGGAAGTCGACATGATTCTGCTGAGAATACATGGAATACATGATGTTTGGGCCAGATCTTATGCTTACTATGCTTGCATGTTCTCACATGTGATGGTAATATGGTAGAAGAGCTGATTTCTTCACCAGTTTTCATTCCAAGGGTAGCTCAGGTCGCTGACAGACTTGATGGGTGAACGCTTTTGAACAACTAGGCAAGCTTCAAGTCAAGCTACACTTAGTCTCCCTGTTTTCATTCCCTATTGCTTTGAGTTTGGAGCGGGATTTAGATGTAGCATTTGGAGAGTTGGACATGTGAGATCTTCACATTGCGGCTAAGGAGATCTTTGATTTGCTGAAGGAAACCGATGCCACAGATTTGAGTGCAGAGGATGTGCAGTGGTTTATCGCCGTGTTTATCGATTGTGTGTGGTTTGGAGCCCAAAGAGATTTGCAGCTGGACGGATATACAATTATACCACATTTATATAATGTTATATACTGCTTGGTGGTTTCAAACATGAATTTTATTTTCCATTTCATATATGGGATGTCATCCGGAACCCATTGACGAACTCCATCATTTTTCAGAGGGTTAGGCTCAACCACCAACCAGG